ATAGGTAGTGTTGTATTTCTGTTGGTACAGACTCAATGGGCTGAAAGGCTTCTTCTGTACTCTGATTCAGAGGTTCAGTGATTTGACTGCTTGCAGAAGAGAATAACAGTTTTGCATTGAATGGAGTGGTATGAAACTAGCAAAGTTCAATATTTGGTCTCCACTGAATGACCTATTAGGAAAGCACTAACAGTGTTACATTGGATAAAGCAAATCTGGATAGGGGCTATTGTTGACGCCTGATTTTCCGGGGATCCTTCAACAGTTCTAGTTGAAACTCTCAAAGAATGGACATTTGATTGAGGTACCATAGGGCTGGTGGCACCCTTTGAATTATGAGTAGGGAGAAAATCATTGGATAAAATACTATATCTATGCAATTTCACAATTTGCGGATTTTGTACAGCCACTGCCTTCAGGGAGAAGCTAGGGAAATTAGATAATGAGTCATTGTTGGCCAGTCTTGCTGACTTCCTAGTTACATGTAAGCATTGAGAATGCCTTGAGGCACATATCACATTCACAAGTCAATACTAGCAAATTCAACACAGTATCTGATGATTAGAGGAACCGGGAAGGCTTTTTAATTTTCTTTCCTGAGGTACTTAAGCAAGTACTATGGAGTTTGATAAGACCAATGGTGTATATTAGTTTTAACAGCTGTTTTATATGGTAAGGGTGAGTGCACAATGAAGCATAACATACACATAGGAGTTTCTCATAGACACGCATGGTCTGGTTCACTGTTAATCTAAATTAAGTCTTTTATGTTTTTCATTGATTCTTTAATTGCTCTCCATAGCTTAAAGAGGAGCAACAAAAGGCTCTTGTACGAAGAGATTTTGAGCTGCAAAGCCTGAATTTGCAAACCAGACTTGAGCAGAAATTCTGGAGTCAAGAAAAAAATCTGTTTGTGAAGGAAGCAGATCAGTTCAAACAAAACCTCTTCCTTCTCTACATGAAACTGAAATGGTTCCTGAAGCACTGGAAATGTGGCAAGAAGATGGACAATGATGGTGATGATTTACTAGAGGTGCAGTGTTCAACATTTTTAAGAGAGCTGATAATCTCATCAACTGTTGTCTATGTGAGCACTCAAACCATTACAGTAGTGTAGAGTTAAACCCATAAAATAGCTGCAATGAGCATATGTTTCAGTGTTAATGGAAATCAATTTATCTGATTAGCATATGTATGTAAAATGTGCAAACATAGTAAACTTTAGAGTAAATGGCAGGAACAGTATATAAGAAATGTTTATTAGGCTCATGGTCTTGGAGTTTTAAAAAGGAAGAGGCAATCCTGTTGAAACATTCAAGATTCTGAGGAGGCTTGAAAGAGTCATCACCAAGTCTCGGTTAAACATGAACAGGGGAAACAGTTTCAACAACTTTCCATTTAACACACTGATAAGGAAGAGTTTGTTATCTGGTAGCTGTTGGTGCTTGGTTTTTTTTCTTCCCGAAAGAGCAGTGGAACCTGGGTCATCGAATATATTCAAAACTGACTTGGACAGATTGTCGATTGACAATTGACAGGGAGTCTGTGGTTATTGATGGGGTTGGGAGGGTGAGAGAAAAGGAACTGAGACCACATTCAGATAAGCTATGATATTTTTGAGTGGCCTACTCCTCCTGTTTCTTATGTTCTTCTATAGTATGTTGAAGAAGCCAAAACCAGAGCACTTCTGTGATACTTTGACAACCATACTGGCAGGGGATGTCTTGCTCACTGAGAGCATACCACAAGAGTCCTTTGTGTACAATACACATTTCATAAGTGTGTGAATAATTATGTGCATTTTCAGCAAGAGCAGTATATTTTTCCTTTATTTTTAATCTATGACTTCAATTTTTTGTGAGAACATCTTTTTATTTTTGAATCTTTAAAAACTGTGGACTGAAAGGGAAAATAACAGTTTTTAAAAACATGAAATTACCAGGATGGCTGCACATTTTTACAGCAAGGAATTCAGTACCTGTTGTGAGCTGTTTTGCAGCTGTGTTCCTGCAATGTGTAGACAGTAGGAGCCGAAGAGTTGTTTACAGCTCAATCTGATTGATTCTCAACTAACTGAGCAGTTTGGAACTGGAAACAGCTTAGAGAGAGAAAGACATAGAAAAGTGTGCTGCTGTTCACCCAAGCAGAATCTGCTTATTTTCCGCAGTTTAAAAAAAAATTCACTAAACGTGAAGAAAACGAGTTTCTTGCAGCAGTTGCTTTAAGCTGTAATTTTTTAATTGATAAATCAGAGACATTTTCCTGGTAAATCAGTCATTCTGTAGGTTTTGCAAATCAATGAAACCTTTTAGAGAGAGAGAGAACTAAACACTAAGGGCTTGGCTTGCTGAAGTACAGTCATTTCAACATCAGAATTGGAAAGCAACGACCACAGTACTGTCTTTCCAGTTGTTTTCTACTTCCACCAATAATCTATTTTTCCTATTTTTTTTCATGTGTGAAGGGGAATTAATATGGAGATTAGTGTCTTAATTAATAGTGTTATATTCCAGTAGTTGATATTTGTTTACGTCAGTGGTTCATAATAAGTTTTAGAATAATTGCACATTTGTGTACCATAACAAAAAATTCACAGTGGTGCAGTGTCACACACCAACAGTTGTGAGCACCTCCTGACAATGAATGAAATTCAGAGAAACATTTCTTGTGCTTCGATGCATTTGGCAGGTTAACAGTGTGAAAGATCTATATTTGCTGATTGAAGAAGAGGAGCTGACCCCTTGCCAATTGGACAATAAGACTGTGAAAACAGATGACCAATCTCAGAAAACCTTTGAGGAGGCTCTGACTGTTCCGATGGAGAAATCTCTTCCCACATCGTGTGTAAAGCAGGTACACCGTTGTTTAAGTAGCTAATTACTGCAATGCATAGGGATATTCTTATATGTTGCACACTATCCAAAATTAATTGCTTAATCAGCTGTCTATTAAAGTACAAGGTTTATCTCAATTGAAGAGGGGTTTCTGAATTAAATAATAATTCATCGTTATTATCCTAATTTTTATACTCTCTTTGAGTATACTTTATCAGTATGGTGATAGACTCATTTGAAAGATTTTTATATGGTTACAAGAGGTGTGTGTGTGGAGCTTTAACCTGTTTAAGCTGCAGAATGCTGGATCATTGCACCATCTGAGTGACTTCTGTGTGGTGGATAACTAATCTTTGGGTCATAAATTTTGGTTACCATTTACTTAATCAGTTTAAATTGTTTTGCATGCCTTTTTGCTGCTGCATCTTTTTCTTCTAACAATGTTGCCAAATTTGACAAATTTGCATTTAATTTTAGAATTCAAATGACTTGCATAGATTAGAAACAGCAGACGTCTAGTCATTGATTCCTGTGGGAGTTGGTCTGTTCACCCCACCTGCTGTTGTACCTATTACAAATATTTCTTGGCCATTTTGACATTGTGTTTTAAGTTTGATTCCATGGCCAGTCTTTTGCATTAATCTTGTAAAATTCAGTTTCTGCCTGGATAGACTTAGTGCAACAATTTTCTATGTAATAGCAACCTTCTGTATCGTTTACCTATTTTACACTGAATTCCTAGAGAGGTTAGGTAAATTTGAAGTCTCATATGTGGAAATTTGCTAAATATTTTCTGAAAGAAGAAATTATTTAAGTATTGGTCTTTTCAAAGAAAGATCCACTCTTAAATGTATGTTGTTTGTTGCTATTATGGTATTGGTGGAACTTGGAATATGTCTGTTTTTAAAAAAAAAAAGGCCAGTTTATAATATTAACAATTACTAAACTAAAGTGAGACTAATATTTGTTCCATTCAGTCTAATCGGTATTTGTCAAGCTCAGAATTAATTGTCAATTTTGTTAAAGGTGATGTCCATTATAGCAAAGTTTTTTTTTTTTTGCTTTTTAACAATGATATTGTATGCTTGTTTTGTATTTTGCAGTCAAATGAATATAGTCGAGTTGTGGGAGATATTAAAATGATTTTAAAGGACCTTTGCACAGAACTAAAAGAGGAAAGAAGGCGAACAAATGATCTTCAACACCAGTTTGCAAACGCCAAGTCAGCCTGGGAGATAGAAAAAGTGGAGCTCAAAAGTCGTATTACACAAGTAAGCAGAATTTGAGACAGACAGTTATTCTGTATCAGCAGTAATTCAGAGTCATTCTTAGCGTATTCATTGTCAACAATCCCAGGCTAGTTTGTTCTCCTTACTATCAAAGGACATTAAGCTACATTTGTTGCATTACATTAAAAGTTCATTCAGTACTATACCCCAAACTTCTCCCTGTAACCCTCCCCTCGTCCTTTAAGATAACAGTCTAATTCTGCTTTGAAAATTCACTGGAACCTGCCTCTGTCACACTGTCTGGCAATGTGTTTCTGATTTTAACTACCTGCTATGTGAAGAATTTTTTTTTTCCTTTTGCTTCTTTTACTGTTTACTTTAGATCTGTGCCGCCTTGTTCTTAATTCTTTCATGAATGAGAACAGTTCTTTTCAATTCATTCATGAGAACGGCAGTGACGGTGGTTTTGATTAGAGACCTGGACTATTGCTGTGGTTCAGATTCCACTACGGCAAACTGAGGTTTGAATTCAATGAATAACTCTGAAAACCATGAAACCATTGTCAATTGTTATAAAAGCCCAAATCCCTTTTAAGAAAGGACATTTAACCAGTTAAGACCTAGTCTGGCCAAATATGACTCCAGCCAACAGCAATGTGTCGAGTCTTTTTTGGCCTCTGAACTTGCCTGCAAACCAGTAAAATTAAGACCAATTAGGGATGGACAGCAAATGCTGGCTTTGCTAGTGACACCCACATCCCATGAATGAATTTTAAATAAACATCTCTCTCCAGACCCCTCATGATTTTGAACACCTATATCAAATGTACTGTCAGTCTTTTCTTCAAGGACACAGTCCTAACTTCTCCAACCTGTCATCACAACTAAGGCTTCTCAGCCCTGGAACCATTCACATGAACTTTTCTGCAGCCTCTCTAATTGCTTCATGCTCCTCCTAGAGCGAGACTCCCAGAACTGGACACAGCACTCCAGCTGATGACATATTACTGTCTTACAAAAGTTCAACGTAATCTTTGATTTTGTACACTATGCATGTATTAATAGAGTCCAGGATGTGTATACTTTATAGGCAGTTCTTTTAACCTGTCCTGCTATCTTCAATGACTTGTTTATTTACCACCTAAGTCTCTCTGTTCCCATAACCACTTTATTTGGTGTCTGTCTGTGTTCTTATACTAAAATTAATCACTTCACATTTCTTTGTATTAAGCTTTACTTGCCACTTGTCCACACATTCTACCATCCTGTATGTGTGTTTTTGAACACTCCTTGTATTTCAGAATTTTTTCATTATTGAATCATTGGCATATTTTGAAATTATGTATTTGTGCATCAAATCTGGTTCATTAAGATATGTAGACAATGGACTAGTGATATTATCTCTGGACTGTTAATCTAGAGATCCAGGAAGAGTCTTGGTGACACAGGTTTGATCCCTCCATGGTAGATAGTGGAATTGAAATTCAATAAAAAGTCTGGAAACAAGAGTCTAATGATGACTGAATCTGTTGTCAATTGTCGGAAAAACCCATGTGGTTCACTAATGTCCTTTTTTGGGAAGGAAGCTGCCTAGTTTGGCCTATGTGTGACTGCAGACCCACAGCAATGTGGTTGACCCTTAACTGCCCTCTGGGCAATTAGGGATGGCCTAACCAGTGACATAGACATCCTGTGAATGAATGAATTTTAAAAAATCAAGGTACTGTGAACAGTTTTAGTCCCTTTATCTGTGGAAATGTACATTGGCATTGGAGCCAGTCAGAAAAGGTTCACTAAATTGATTCTAGGTATGGAGGGGTTGTCATATGAGGAGAGATTGAGTAATTTGGGCTTATATTCATTGGCGTTTGGAAGAATAAGAGGAGACTATTGAAATAAATAAGATTTGTATGGGCTTGATGGGGTGATTTGGAGAGGCAAAGTTTGCAGAACTCTAAGGTACAGTGTGATCTGAGTGCCCTCATGAATGAATCATAAAGGTCACTGTGCCAATACAGAAAAATTTAGGAAAGCCAGTAGAATGGTGTTATTAATTGTGGGGTCTGTTTGAATACAAAAGTAAGGAGGTTGTGCTTCAGTTATGTAGAACACTGTTGTACTGTGTTCATTATTGGTCAATTTACGTTATACGTAAAAATGCCTTGGAGGCTGTTTAGAAAAGGTTTTATAAACTAATAACTGGAATGCGAGTCACTCCCAGGAGATGGGCATTGCTGGCTAGACAGTATTTATTGCTTGTCCCTTGCTTCCCTTAAGAAAGTGATGCTGAGCTGCCTTCTTAGATAGCTGCAGTGCATGGCTGTAGGGAGATTAACAATGCCATATTTGACCCAATGACACCGAACGAACAGTGGTATATTTCTAAGTCAGGTTGGTGGTGATCCCAGATATCTGCTGCCATTGTCTTTCTGGATAGTACTGGTCATAGGTTTGGAAGGTGCTGTCTAAGGATCTTTGAATTTCTGAAGTGCATCTTGTACCGTCCATAAGATGCACTGCAGAAATTCACCAAATATCCTGACACATGGTTGTTTTATGAGGAAAAGTTGGACAGAGTCTATTCTATCGAAGTCCTTCATAGTTTTAAAGACTTCTATTAGGTCACCCCTCAGACTTTGCTTTACAGGTGAAAAGAGATCCAGTCTGTCCATCATTTCCTGATCACTATGATTTCACAGTTCTTCTGTTAATCTTGTCATTATCATACACCCCAGAGTGGTGTTATGGACCAGGCCAAACCCCTACTAAATATATGAAGGAGCTAGCCCAGACCCTACCTTTTATCTTATTTAAAGGCAAGTGTAGGACGCTGTGATTCTATTGATCAAATTACTAGGCTTTAAGCAAAACACACTTTATTCTTACACTACAGTTAAAATAAAAACACAAAAGAAGAATCGACACAACTTTACCTCTATTAAAATACAAAAAAAATTAACTACTACTCATCAGCTGTTCCAATAAAGAAGCATCCCATATGCATACCTTCGGCAAAGGGAAATTCAGCAAAAGAGATTTCCCTCGCTTGCTTTCTCCTCCAGTTCAGGAGAAAGGAAAAACTGTTTGAATGAATGTAGCAGCAAAGAGAGAACTCCAGCTTTTTGCTGCAGCAGAGAGAGGGAGCTGTATCCAGCAGCTTCACCTCTTTAAAAAAAACTCCAACTTCAACAACTGAAAGCAAAACTGAAACCCTGGGTCTGTGTGAGCTTGACTCCATCCACTAATGCTTCCTTTGTCTAATTTTAAAAAAAATCTATTTACTCTGCTTTCCAGCACTAGGTTAATAATACGTCTCCAAGGAAACGAAGACAGAGCAAATCCCTCTTAAAGGCACATAATGTCTCTTTCATGAGGCCAGGTTTCCATCTCTCCATGGAGGTGTGAATCACAAAATGCTACATTTATTTGGTTTTATTGGATAAACAAATTTTCTCTGCCTTTTCAACCCAAACCCATCCTATTTTCTAATGACATGTTCATGGGTCAGCAAGATCTCGGTGCAATACCCATGCATTTCTTTCAAGATCGGGATTCCCACTTTGAGGAATATGCAAAAATTGCCAATACCAATATCCCCATTGCCAAACACACACACCACCATTCATGTGTGCTGGCGTGGGTTTTGAAATCCTTTCAAAGCACATCTCCGTAAAGTTCATATTCACACAGAGATGCCTGCTGAGGCATTGAGAACATTCTGAAAGGCAAGTGTAAAATATTTTTGACAGCTGTAGATTAGATGTGTTTTTAACATGGTGATTCATCATAGGGATCATTCCTGCAAAGATAAGTTGCCGTTTACATTGAATAGTATTGTGTATGCGTTGCACTACCGTGCTTTTTTAATTGAAGATAGTGCCATTATATATCAGGACTCTGCCATGGTGATTTCTGCAATGATTTAAATTGGCTGCCAATTCTCCTAGTTTATAAAATAGAATCCTGCTTTTGCAAGTTATGAAGAATATTTGAAACCCTGCTCCTCTCCATTAGTTCACAGGGAATTTAACAATCTGCTGAATGTTAGATTTGCATCTAAGGTTTTAAATCTTCGCTGGAAAGTTGCTGCAAATGCGAGTACGTGATTGTGCACCAAACTGTACAGGGACCTGAGTAAACAGGGCAGCATCTGTGTATCTCCTTGAGCAGTCAAATCAAGCGATTGTGAAATAAACAGAGCAAGAACGGAGAAGAAATGTGAATTGGAGTAAATGAATTGAATGTCAAATCAGACACCATGAGAAATAAGAAGAGGAAAAGATTGAATTAAGTTTGTAAAAATGAAAATAAGAGGCAAAAGGAAAATGTGAAAAAACAGTTAACATTTTAAGATAACACTTTTCTTTAAAACTTCACTTGATCAAGTTGGACTCCATATCAGACGTAGAAAAGCAACTTCCCACCGTTCAATGCTGGGGCAGACAGTAAGATGCTATTTTAGTGAAACTAACAGCAAAGCAATGCAATTCAGACAGCAAATTTGAATTAATGTGTTTAACCACACTTCTGACCCTCAAGTAAAGTTGCTGCACCATATAAGGATAAATAATGTTGAGCAGCATTAACCTTACTTGAATTTGAGCAAAAAATCTGGCCCTCTCTCTCTCTCTCTCAGACCATCACAGTTTTTGTAGCAGCCTTGTATGTAGTAATTCAGTGGTGTCAAATTGCCATAGAATAATGGAATAACTTCAGTAATGGAGTTTAATATTACAGGTGCCTTGCCACTTGTGGATTGCAACACTTAATACAATAATGAGCTAATATTCAGGATGAGAGTTTACATCTAAAATTACAAAATACTCACATATCTGTCCAAATGTTTGACTTTAAGAGAATCGCTGAATTTTTTGACACTCCTGTTTGTTAAAAAAAATCACATTCCTCCTTTTATTTGCTTGCTAATGTCTGTATTGCTTTACACCATGACATGCAGATGTTAGCTGATGTAACTGTCATACCATTACAGCTGTTTAGCTCAACAGACCACAGTTTCCCTCGATTGACCTAGGGACACAGCT